CCTAATCTCATGAGCTTCTATAACCTTTCTGAATTGTTTTTGAAGGCCTCAGAGAGCTCTTTTAATCTAAACACAAACTTCACCAAAAACAGCAAATCAAACTAAATATTTAAATAAGGTTCAAATAAGACAGGCTCTTCCCAATTCTTCTTTAACAATGTTCTAATTATTTGCACATAACACTTATTTAGATAATTGAGATAGTGATAAATGTAGGGATATATCTGTTTTTTTTCAAGAGGTGAAATTTGCTTTTGTGTTTATAAACTATAAAATGTAAATGGTTAATCCCTTGATCAATATTGTAAAAATTAATATCAAATACTGTGTGTTGAAATACGTTTAAAAAGATAAAAGGTTCAGTGGTGTCTTCTTAATTTTTAGTATTTTAGTATCAAAATGTTTTTAAAAGCCTGTCAGTAAACTACTGGAGGTTTCTGAGGGATTGATCATTTTCCTTTTTTTTTTTTTTACCCTCAGACGCAGCCAGTGAAGAAGACTCCCCAATGCCACCTTGCTCTCATCTAAATAGCAAAAGCTCTGTCCCAGAAGAATTGAGCAATCTAGTTGTTGAGTCCATTCCATCAAAGGTTTCTGAGATTAAAGATGAGCCTGGAAGCCTAGATCACACAATAACTGAAGAAATAGTTTATACAGAAGAACCGAAATCTTTGGTTTCTACTGGAAAACCTGTAAGTGAATTTGATTACTAAAAGCTTAATTTGAATATTATATTACATTAGTAAATAAACCCGATAAAATGTATGAACATACACTTTCTTTAAAAAAGAAAAAAAAATATTCATTCTTAATTCCAGCTACTTCTAGGACACATAATATAAAAGTAATGTTCAGTGTGTATTTATTGTAACACAACATGCTAAATTCTGTTAAAATGTACAAAATATATTGTTAAAAGGTGAAATAGATGCACTCATAATTCATATTTTTCTAGTTTTTTCTCAGATTCAATGAGTGAGGGCTAAACTGTAGTTTTCTCTGTTGATTGGGTGTTGCTATCTAATGTGAGATCATCTAAATAGGAAAGGCGACCTAATCTCCAAATACCATAAAATGAATTAAATATCATAATCTATCTTAATTAAGACTGGATGGACAAAGGAGATGAAATGATTTCTGATACAACACAACCTCCCTCATTAAGTGATGATGCTATTAAATGAGTCACATTTTTTTTTTGCCCAGGTCATTAGGCAAATAATACAGTCACTAAATGAATCTGGTTTCCCCATTGAGTTTGCTTGTCAGAATCCTTCTGTGAAGGTTGTAAATGGTGATCACAATAAAACATGTCAGTTGCCAAACGTCCAAATCATGAACATCTGGGGAGATGCTGCAATGATTGTAAGGACAGATCATAAGTCATTTTTTTCCAAAAGGTCAAACAAGTTAAGAACTACCCATAATAACATCTCTCAAGAGCTAGATTTCAGCACTTTTTTATATTTGGGAAAAGTTTTTCTTTGCCCTTTCCTTCTTTTCTTTTTAGTAAAATAGGGTTAATGCATCCCGCACAGTGGTTAGAATGCAATATTGAAGGCTGACAGTGCTCACTGTCAGGAGTTCAATCCTAAGGGGCTCAAGGTTGATTCATCCTTCCATCCTTCTGAGATCAGTAAAATGAAGGACCCAGATTGTTGGGGGCAAGATGATGACATTTGTAAAACACTCAGAAAAGTTTTGTAAAACACTATAGAGTGGTATATAAATGTAAGTGCTAGTGATATCAGAAGCTTAAATACTATTTTACTGCTTTACTGCCCTTTAAAAAAAACACACAAAAAAATGTTTCCATAGTTTGACTTCAGATTTCAGAAACAGAGTTTTGAAGTGCTTTGAGAGCCGAGGTGGCGCAGTGGTTAAATGCAGCACTGCAGGCTACTTCAGTTGACTGCAGTTCTGCAGTTCAGCTGTTCAAATCTCACCGGCTCAGGGTTGACTCAGCCTTCCATCCTTCCGAGGCGGGTAAAATGAGGAGCCGGATTGTTGTTGGGGGCAATATGCTGACTCTGTAAACCGCTTAGAGAGGGCTGAAAGCCCTATGAAGCGGTATATAAGTCTAACTGCTATTGCTATTAATTGCCAAGGCAAAGAAATGAAGACAAGAGAAAATGTTTTTTTTAATCAGAATTCATATTCCTCCCTCTTCTGTCCATTCCGCTCACACCTGGGTGCTACATATGTCCCTCCCTCTGATCCCCAGGTCCTCACCTGGA